ATCCCCCAGCCAGCCATGCTGGCTGGGGGATTCTGAGAGTTGAACTCCAGACATCTTAAAGCTGCCAAGGTTGAGAAACACTGGACTAATGAGTTCTTCTGCAGTGGTCCTAGGTCCTGTATTGCTTCCATTGGACACACTCATTCCTCAGATCTGTATGTGTGTGTGTGTCCAGATCTGTGTTGGGCTTGGGGGAACGGCATTTACATTACCTTAACATACCTGTGGAGGTTGGAAATGAACTGCTTTATAGCTTGTACCCGCTGAATGGGAAATAAAATGAAGCTTTGTGTTGCTAGCGTAGTTCACAGCAGGCAGTGGCTGTGGTCTGATTGAGCACGGAAACTGGTGCAGGTTAAGAATAAGCACTTTAATGGTTGAATTTAGCTAGCCATACATTTCATTTATTGCTATTCGGGAAGTCCCGTTGATCCTTTTGGCTGAAGATCTTGAGAGACCGCTGTAGGGACTACCCCAGGAACCGTTGTGATTGCTTGATCGCTCTTGGGCAGTGGTCTTCAACTGCACTCCCTTGGCTTTTCTCTAAACCAGGCTTCAGTATATTGTTTTATCTTCATGCATAATTGTATCAAAAGTAGCCGCCTTGTTAAGTTGTCTCCTGTCATACCTTTTCAGATGTCTTCCGCAAAACCTGCTTTCCAGTAGTGTTAGATGTGAGTTGCTTCCCTGGCCAGGGGATGACTTTGAATCACTTCCCACATACCAGACTTCTCACAATCCCAGGCATCTTTCTGCAGATAGGTTTTCTCATGGGTTACTTCCTTACTGTGTTGTTCTTCGAGAACTGGGGGTGCCATTTGCTGCCTTTTCACAATGCTGTAACGTCTTTGTGTCCTTCACAATAGTTTCCCCATGGAAGAAAGTTTTTAAGATGATCGAAATGTATCTTACATTCGTTGTGAAATTATTGTATTTCTGTTATTCTCTCGTGATCAGCCCACCCTGTGACCAGCCCACCCTGGGCTCTTGACTATTCCCAAGTGTTCCACAAACAGCTTTGCTCAGTTAGATAACTGTAAGTAGAAAACAGAGCATGCTGTTGGTTTAACATTCATTCCTTGCAACTCTGGAAAGTTGCCAGACTAGGCTGGCTGAAGGCATCTTTCTGTTCCTCTTTTTCAGAAACTTTCCCACCAAAAACAAGAGGTTGCTTTATTCTTGATCGGGACTAAGCGACTGTAGTTGCACTTAGATCCCATTGAAATTGCTACAGGGTTGAATCATAGCTTACGTTCCATTTGATTTCATTGGAAAATAGGCCTAATTAGTTTGACCTGGATCTGGCTGTAGAATACTAACAGAAACAACCACAAATGATGCTTTAATGCAGTGTTTTAGAGTGTTTAAATCTTTGACGCTTCCTTATATTTTACTGTAAAGAGGGCAGTATTGCTATTCATATGATAGATGAAGTTCAAAGAGCAGAAAAAATGGTGGCTTGTCAAAGGCCATCAGTGAGCTCTCGCTGACTCTCTGCTTTTCATCTAAAGATGAGGTTAGACTGTAGATTATCTCTTAGTTCTAGACAATGCAAGCTCTCAGCTGATTGTTAAGTAGTAGCTGTGAATTTAGAAGTGTGTGTGAAGGCTGTTGAGCACAGTAAATGCTGAGTATTAAAAACACGTATGAAAGGGTGGTCCATAATGGTGGGAGTTGCACAAGTCTTTTGTACTTTGCAGTGACACAGATGTAACCCAAGTGACTATAACTGTGCACCAAATGTTTATTCCTTTTTGTAAACCTTTTCCTAAGGTTTTAGTCCAGCCTTAGCTTGGTATCTTTTTTGTAAGAAGCAGCAACAGCTTATTAAATGCATATGCTGATCTTACATTGCTGCGATACCCAAATTATTAACCAGGTTTGGACCTGCTTAGAAGATTTAGTGCCGTGAGAACACGTAGAGTCGCCCGATCACTTAGTGATTTTTAGGTTCAGATAGCCTATCAACCATTCCAGCTTTTTCTTTATGCCTCCTATCTTTCAGCATGCCAGCCATGCCTTTCATGAATGAGGACAGCAGTCAGGACCCATAATGCACAGACATTGAGAGTCCACAGCCCACGCTGGAGAAGAACCTTGGAAGGAGTTTGAAGTCTGCCATACAGGAATGCTCTGAAACCCTCCCCAGATCTACCTCCACCCTCTGCTCAGGCTGAGGATCAGCGGGGCAGGCAACTTCACTTGTGCTAGTATTACCAGAGATGCTTATAAGCCTCCACGGAGGGCCATTCTCACCACCCCCTTCCTCAGAAGTATTTTCCTAGCTGCTGTTGGGGCCGTGCAGTCCATTAGTGAGAAATACGAGGAGGTTGAAATCTGGGTCTCGAAGTCCTTAAGGAGCCAGTGAGTTTTTTACACAAGGGCCCACCAAGGTTCCCTTTTCCCTTACATTCCAGGTCTTCAGTAGAGTGGCCAGAAGGAAGGGATTCAAATCTAGCCGGGAGCGTGCTGCATTTGCTGTGTCAGAATATGCTGAAATGATAATGTTGTGTAAACAATCCTTAAAAATAGCTTAGTGTCCAAAGAGGAAAGTGGATCTGGTACTGGCCTTTCAGTCTGTGAGCTTGTTCGCATGGTATCTTCTGGAACGTCTATTGTAGACGTCCATGTGGAGATCCAAAATGTGCTTCAGGTCTGTCTGTCTCCTCTCTACTTACAATGCAGCCCCTAACCCAGGAAGTGTCTCATGCATTGGCACACGGTATTGATGCCATGATCCCAAAAGCAGAGTATGGTGGCAGGATCCAGGAGAACCTGAAGAATCTCCTGATCCAGAGTCTGTACAATATTTAATCATCATCACCATTGTGGGGATGGAGACCAGGAACAGCTGCTAGAGGAGTGTTTTCATTAAGATGGCCTGAAGCCACCACAGAAAAACCCACCCTGAAAGGTTTGTTTTCCTATTCAGGCCTCCCAGGAAAACTTGCAAAGAAGCAAAGTGAAGCAGGACCCCCACCTAGACATCTTTTGCCATTCCAGTGCTGCTGCAAAGCTCTTGTTGACCCTGAGCATTCAATTAAAGGAGAGGGAAGTATTCTGAAGAGTGACAAAAGATGTGTCCTTTGTCCTGGAAAATCCCAAGCAGTGCAGGGAAAACAGTGATTTTTTTTTTTAATCTCATCGTGTACTCTTTGGGCATACTTACTTCTGGATGTTGTGTGCTTGAGCAATTCAGTTCTCACTTCTGCCCCCTATTTTGCCTCTCCCCTTCTCAAATGTAGGCTAACACAATGGCCTTGCACTCTCTTCCCACCTTCTGGTACCCATTTACTTTTAATCAAGGGATTTGAGGCGGAATTGAGACCTGCTACAGAAAACAATGGAGAAAGCCAAGATCCAGCATACGTACAGTTCTCCCAGTAAATTGCTCCCATCAGTAAATTAACAAAAAAGATAAGAGTTTGTATTGTGTATTAAATATGAACCTGGAATGTTCCACTCAAGATAAAATAAACCTTATTTCCACGGATGCAACTGTTAACAGCATTCTGTAAGTCCAGTGTACAGGTGGTCGTTAGATCATTTTTGCATCTTTTTCGTTTATTTTGCAAAATGTTGTTAACCTGGTATGTATGTAGAAACAGTTACCTTATTTGGTTTACAAACCGATCCATGTTTAGAAGGAAGTTGGGAGAACTGGAAATCAAAACACATCGGCTAACCAGTTTTTAAAATGACCACCGGAGAAGGGCTCCACTCTAAACCTTGATTGCTTTTCTGTTTCCCTTAATTCAGTTTATTCCACCAAATACATCTGTCTAGGTTTTGGATCATGTGTTGAACTTTATAGCTGCTTCCTTAACTGAGTTTGCAAGATGATATATATGAATGGAAAACCACTGACTTCTCTACATCTTAATATCAATACCTTCTATTGAATTTTTTCCAGGGTTACTGCAATTTTATTATATTTTCTAGGGCATCTAACATAGATCAGAAAGGTAACAATATTCGAGAATTGTATTATAGTTACATTTTTCCTTAAGTAATTGTCTGTTCCCTTTTCCTTGCGTATACAGATGCAACTGACCTTCTGTGAGGCTTTTATTCTCCTCCATAATTAAAGCAGTCCTGAGTACTGTGTAATGTTTTACATGTTGTTATAAAAACATTGTGGATAGGACAAAGTGAGCACTTTTTCGGTTAGTAAGAAGCACGATGGACAGGGTCTGTAATGGTACCTTTGATACAGGCTAACCTAAACCTCTGATTGCTCAGTGCTATCCGAAATCACCGATTTCAGTGTAGCGTGACAAAGGCGGTTTAAAATGGACACCTTGGTTTTTTGTTCAATATACAACTTTAGTTTGTCTCTGAAAGTTTCACCTAGGAAACTATAGATAAGTGGGTTCAAACAGCTGTTTGAGAATGCTGCAAGATTGACAATGTGCCCTGTTAAGGGATAGTTATGTCTGAAAGACTGGCCCCTTGATGAGGATTCCTCTGTCTTTTGGAGAAGTTGCACGCTTATGAAGACGTTTTCCGGAAGCCAACAAATGAAGAAGACGAGGACAACAACAAAAATCATGCGGAGAGCTTTCTGTCGGCGAATGCGCAAACTCCTGTGTTTGTGGGCGCTGATCAGAACTCTAACAATTAATGAATAACAAAGGCCTATGATAGCGAAAGGTATGATAAATCCTAAGGTGATTTCTAGCCACTGAATTTCCGCTACATCAGCAAAGCAGAAGTGGATTTCCCCGGAGTGTTGCAAGTGGACAGCTGTGAAGGGCACTAATGCTGCAGAAATGGAGGCCAACCAGATGAGGCCACAGCTCAGCCTAGCGTGCTCCATGGTGCGGAACAAGTTGGACTTCATGACTTTGGCTAGGGCGATGTACCTGTCGAAGCTCATCCACGTTAGGAAGAAAATGCTACTGTACATGTTGATTTGCAGGAACAAGGACATGAAAGTACAAATGATGGTTATGTCATAGTATTTTTCATCGAGATTAAAAACTTCAATGAGGGAGTCAACAACTAAAATGAGATCTGCTGCGGCAAGGTTTATGAAGTACAGGTCTGGAATGGTCATCTTCTCGCGAAAACTGATGTTCACCACTAAAATGAGGATGTTCCCAACAAAGCCAACGGGAAAGAGGAATATTGTGTACAGGCATGATAGGAAAAGACCTATAACGTATTGCTGCTGTTCTGACTTGTCGACAAGGCTGAGTGTTTGACTTTCGTTGCAAAAACGTGAGCCATTGAGTTCAAAGTAGGTGCTGTTACAAAGCACCGGAGATGCAGGTCCTGCGTAAATTTCTGTGGTATGATTCTCTGCGAAGTAGATAAATTTGGATTTCTGTGCCAAAGCGTTGAGATTGGTCGTGGTTCCAAAGAGATCTGCAGAGATCATGATTGCAGCATTTAAAGCCAAAATCAGTTAAGATCAGACTGTTCAGAATTTCTTTGTAAATGTACTAATCCTCAGTATGATGAGTGCCTGTGAATTCATGTTCTGTAACACAGGAACTTTTTGATAGCCATGGTGGTGGCTTCGGATACGTGCATTTTTTCTTCAGTGGAAGACTTTCCTATTGTTTGAAAGATGCAGAACCCCATAGGGCTGTTTCCTTCTCTTTTGTACGCAGGGAGTAGCGGACCTGCAATTAATGAAAAGAGAAACTATTAATCTCATATCTGGAAAATTGAAAGCATCCAACATATATAAACATAAATGACCTTGGCATCTGTTCGTGTAAACTCAGGGTATTGTCTTTGTGCATCTAGTTAGATGAATCACACACGGCGTGGATGTGCGTGTTAAGTGCAGAAAGTGCTAGACAAACAAGCTTCTGACGCTTCTAGGAGTTCCACTTAGCGGCAATATGAAAATTTCTCTCTGTGTTGCTCTTTCAAGGAAAGGATAACAATCAGAAGTAAAGCAGATTTTGGGAGAAACAAGAGATCAACTTTCTGCTGAACTGAGTTGTTGTTGGTTCTTATAGATAATTATATAACTGTTAACAACCCGTATTATCTCCTGCTGTGGCTGAAAAAGTGACAAACCTTTACAGACCAGAGAAAAATATGGGGTTTTCCTGTTTTTTTACTTTTTTTTTTTTTAACTCATCGTGAATCTGCTTTTTTTTTTTTTAATGGAATTTGTCTCAGCGGTGGACATTTTTAATTGTGCTTCAGAGACTACCTGGAATCCATCTGAAAAGGTATCTTAAGTAGCTGCTGTTTCTATTAAAATCTCTCACTCTTTTACTGTTATTTTGAAAAATTAAAATTTATAACAAAAGGAGCTATCCAGACTACTAAACTTTTCAACCACAGCATGCAGAGTGTTTCAGCAAAGACACTGAGCAACAAATTTTGCCAGCAAAAACATCCTTATGGCATTTCAAAGGAAGAGAAGATTGTTTTACTTGGTATATTCTGTTTGTCCTAAATGCATCTGAGCTACAGTTAGTACTTAACTGTACTTAAATACTGCTAGTACTTGTTGATTGGGACTTTCCACCTTGTCCCTCTGAAGTTATTATTAGATGGTGGAATATTGTTTGTAGTTCTGATTTCTGGCCGTGCCTTGCTTGGGAAGAATGTAAAGTAGGTTCTTATCCTATTATATAATGGCATGCAGAAAGTAGCTTCATGGTGGGCGGGTTTTTTCTGCTTTATTTCAAGAAAAAAAATAACTTTCTTACCTAAAAACTGGCTGTAATGTCTGAATTACTATGGAGCTGTCAGTGACCCAGTTTTTAGATTAAGGCATTCTTCCAAAAATGTAAAAACCTTGTAAAAGCTTGATTTGCTGACAGAGGGTTGAAGAATAGCACATCTATATTTTAACCTGGTTTTTTTTTTTTTTTTGGTTGTCTTATTCCTGAAAGGGTACCATAAATCCTTTTTATAAACAACTGTAAAGTAGACTAAAGTACGTGTTGTTTTTTTAAAAAAAGAATATGTCAAATAATGCTGCTTCAGTGACAGTCTGTTTATGCACATGATGTGCAAAAAACCCCTGCCATTTCAGTAATGTTCCTTACTTCCAGCTGTCCTTATGTTCATTTATTTTTGCATTTATTGTACACTGCTGGGCATCCATAAATATTAGCTGATCCAGAGCTGGTAGGCTGGTTTATATTCAAGGGCAGCATCTCTGCATTCAGGTAATTGAAATTAATGTTATTCAGATGACACGGGAGTATACAAAGGTATGGTTCAGCTAGAAATGAAAATGTATCTTATGTTTTGTTTTTGTGTTTTTAAAAAAACATGCTTCAAAGCGCTGAAATGGTTTATGGCCACAAGTTAATATCTGATACCAAATTCTACCAATAAAAAAAAATGTCACAGACGTTTTGGTTTCTGCCTTTTCTCTCCAACTTAGAAAATCCTGCTGAAATTTAACTCTGTTTCTGCTGACCAGTTTTTTTTCCCCTCATCCGTTGAATATGTTAATCTGATTTTTAAACTCATTTCAAGAACCGTGAGCTGTTTGCATTCCTCCTCTCACTTTTCCTTTCTGAACGCCTGTTTCAAATAGAAAGATAAAGCCAGATGCCATTACACCGACTCTTAACTAACAAAGTAAACTTCACTTTAACATCTGCAGCTCTTTTGCGGTATGCAAGTATCGCACCCGTGGGCAGAAGGGCCACGAAAGCGAGAGGAAGAATGCTGATCAATACCTGAAAAGGAACAAGTCAAGTAAGATTGTCCTACCCTCGCTCGTGCATCCAGTTTCCCTTCTGGATCGCTGGCATGTTTCCGTGAACTTGAAAGGTGACTCCAGATCAGGGGTTACTTTTCAAACCCGGCCGTTCTCGAAAATCCCGACCTCATCGTTCCGAGCGCCAGCCGCGCTTCTAAATCCTGATGCAGCAGGTGGAAGTTGCTTCCTCTGTCTGGGGAGGAAGCCGGTTGACAACTGCATGACCCCCACCTGGTGGCTGCCCAACCAGGAGCGATCCGCTGCCTGTGGGAAAAGAAGGGTTGAGCAGCGAGGCTGAATCCTGCTTTCTGAGTGGAAGAGCAGCCAAGACTGAAGTCCACCAGCTCTCTCTCTCGCTCCCTCTCTTGAGAAAACGATGCTCCCTTCTCTGTTTGCCATGCTTGTGTCAAATCCCTCTTTTCTTTTTTTTCCCTCTTCCTTCAGCACAGCAATAAGCTTTCTCAGGAAGGCAGATGTCAATGAGGTTTCCATACGCAGTGAGAATTTCAGGCATGCTGACTGGAAGGTCTTTTCATCAGGAGCCCCCTTATGCCCAGGTAGAACCTCAGATTAGCATCCAGTATTCCGCAGGGTTGCACCCCTCCTGCAGATCCACTAAGGTCACCCAAATCTGGGCCATCAGTAAAGAGGCCATCTACTGGCTTTCTGGATTTTTGCAAGCTCTGAACTGGTAGCTGATGGGTCCTGCCTTGACTAAGCTGTACTGTATCCTTCATCACAAATGGCATCTAAAACGAAGGGGACCTATAAAAGCAATTTGGGGTACAAGGAGGAGGGGAAGCCCTGTGATGCTAAGAAGCCCAAATCCCGCTGGGTATGTCTCGCTCCTTATGCTATCGCTGCAGTTTCTCATACCCAAGTTATAAAGTTGAAGACAAGAGTCAGATTGAGGATTTGGGGGAATGGAGAAAGCACCCCAAATTCTATTTGTCTGTTTGGAAGGACGAGAGAGAGAGAGTGTGCCATTGAAAGTTTCAGCATCCTTTGAAGTTATCTTTCTCCTTTTCTCTGATTTAAAAGTGAGGTTCTTAGTTTGAGGAATGACACAAACAAATGCAATTGCGCATTTAATTTTAGCTTTCACAATGCCTATTGACCAAAGCCCACTCCCTCTTCCACCTCCGCCCTTTTGGGCTTTAATTAAAACTTCCCTCCTCGGGCTGTGGTCTAACTGTTAATGCAGATTTCGGAGAGGTAGCCATGTAGGTTATTGCTGTAAAAATAACAAATGGTCTTGAGGCACCTCAAAGACTAACAAATGTATTATTGCATAAGCTTTTGTTGACTAAGATCTATGAAAGCTTGTGCAATATTACATGTGGTAGTCTTTGAGGTGCCTCAAGACCATTTGTTTTGATTAATAGACTGTATAGTTTCCATTATCTGTATTCATAATGGAGGAACTTTCATATCCTCCGTTCTTCTAGAGAGATGGTTGTGAAGTTTCCTACTTTTTGGAAATCCTTTCTGTGTTTACCCGTCTGCCGGAGATGATTTACTATGAAACTTCTGTTCTTTTTATAACATTCTGAACATATTCTGGAACGCACTATCTTGGCTTGTTGGATCTTACTGCTATCCCAGTTGAACTGTGGCCACATCCAAGATGTCTTGGCCTGCTACACGTTATAAAAGAAAAATTAGTAATGGAAAGGACCTGATTTTCAGTACAGTTTGTACTGTTAACTTTTCTTATTGAGATTCCTGACAAGCTTCTGAAGAAATTCAGAATCCCTTGTTTAGGGACATTAAAATATACACTTTTCATATCTGTTTCATACCTGGCTGTAGAAGATGATAATTCTTGACTATGTACTTTTTTCTAAAAGTTAATTGGTTTTACTTTTTAAATAAAACCCTTTAAGACAACTAAAAGTAATGCATATCAAAGGTATAAATTGTTTTTGGTTAGAAAGTAAAAGTTGCTGTTAAGACTTGGTAGCATGCCTTATTTATACTGCATCTTATATTTTAATTTCTTGATTATTAACCTTTGCTCAGTCTGCTCTGAAAGTGGACTTTCTAAAATTCAATTTTTGAAGTCTAGCCATGTGTGTATTTTCCTCTATTTTGTCATATATATTAATTTTGTCCATGTCTCTAGCAAGAAAGGCTCTGCTGTTTGCATGAGTGGCCACTTGGCCAGGTCTCAAGATCTTCACTGTTGCTTAGGAGAGTCCAGAGGTGGGCAAAAAAGTCAAAGAGGGCAGCTACGTGGAGCAATTGAAGTTCCACCTGTCTTATATGTCCATTGCAAATTTTCTTTCTGGTATTTGTATAATGAAATGCAGGGAAATTAAGTCAGAAGCTCCATTGTGAGAGGTCCATTTGGGCCAATTAGCAATCCGGTGTGTAGTATGTCTGTTCTCATTTCCCAAGTGTTAGTGTTTTGGTTTTCTGAAGTGGGGGAAACTTTCAGGCTCCTTGCCATGCATTGATTTCCATTTAGTTCTCTGTAACATGTGAAGCATTAGACCCGCTCACTAGGTGTAGAATAAGAAGGAAGAACAACTCCATGGAGAGCAGGAATATTCAGGACTATAAATTCAGAAGTTCTGGAGAAGGAAGGCCATTGGGGGACCCAACTTTGATGCTTTGGCAGATATTCACTTAATGCTGCTGTTGTGACTGATTTGGTGTTCACTAGTGTGAAGGCCCCAGGTCCTGCACACAGTGTAACTCCATGTCTCTCAACCTTGGCAAATTGAAGATGTGTGGACTTCAACTCCCAGAATTCCCCAGCCAGCCAACTCAATTCTGGGAGTTGAAGTCCACACATCTTCGAGTTGTCAAGGTTGAGAAACCCTGGTGTAACTGGTTGCTGAGGTTGTCAGAGCAGATGTTCTTTGGTCCGCTAACATTAAGATCGTGTTTCCTTGAACCCAGCCACGCTAGGGGTGGCTCCTCTTTCTGGAATGCTCCCCCGCCCCCTGCCCCAAAAAACCTTTAGGCCTTAATAGTAAGAGACTAGCAAAGACCTGTATTTTCACCCAGACCTGTAGGAACTTGGGATGAATGGTTCCTATTGAGTTTTTCCTCCCCTGCCCCTCTTTTTTTAAAGGAGTATATTTTTTCACGTGGCTCTACAATATAAAATAACCTCTAATGGGCAATAGTGATGGGTCCAGAACACAATACCCTGCTTGTATTGGCTGCAGATAACCGTCGCAGCTGATCTCTAGACCCACTGAAATGTACTTCCCAGATATTTATGCTCCAGACGTTGCAGGGAAAATGGGATATTAAAAGAACATAGGCTCCAGGTAAAGCACTAATGCGAGCTCACTGGGCTGTTGGTGTACTTAGTCTAGTAATTCTCACTCATCTTAGTTTGGATATGGGATATGTTTTTTCCCATTTAGCTTATATGTTACTATAATCGCATTTCCTTAATTGCCGCAGGAAAAAAAGCCTGGCGTATTTGAATTGTAGGCAGCTCCTCTTTTTTTTCCCTTTTTTTTTCCATGACAGGGAACAAACATCTGAATGCTAAGAAGCTTCTAACATCCTGTTTGTGCTTGCTAGAAAAATGACTTCTGGGTGGGTGTGACCACTGAAAAATAGTATATTTAAATTCACAGTTAAACGTCGGCAGAAACATTTGTGTCTTATTTTTAATCGCATTGGCACACATGGAAGCCCATTGTTTGCACTCCGTTGTGCAGGATAGCAAAGCAGAAGTTACGCACGAGCTGAATTCTCACTGGGATCTCGAAGTAAAAGGAGCCTACTTAATTCCTGCCATGTTAATTTTTAGTTTTATTTTACTTATCTTAGAACTTCTAACCGGTGAACAGCACCTCCCTGACAGTCTTTGTCATATATGCCCTTGCGAGTTGCATGAGTACGAATGACATCTCAGAAGCAGAGGCAGGATTTTGCTAATTGAACAAACTTCACTTTTCTGACAGGTTTTTAAAGCTCCAGGCCCCCTCCTGGCATACACACTTACTACACCACAAGCCTAAGATCGTCAGATACACGAGATTTCACAGCCTTTTGCTCTCCAGGTCTGTTTGCCATGCTGGGGAATTTGGGAAGCTGTGAATAATCCCAATTTATCTGGAGGACAACAAGGTGGGGAAAGCCGCTGTGCAGGATATATGATAAAGTGCAGGGGTAGTTTTAGTCATAACCCATTTTTAAGTTGGTGTGGGGACACAAGATTAGTAATGATAGTAATGAATTAATGAATACTTGCATAGTGTTATAGCATATACTAGCATAGTAATTGATTAATGCTAGTAATTATAATTAATTAATGTGTAGCATATGGTGCTGTCCCCGTTTGTAAAACTTTACAGAGGAGCATAAGACAAAATGGAAAATTACTGCTTAAAAGTTAAAAGTGCAAGGAGATTTATTTGGACTGTATTTTAGCTGGGGCTGAGGAAAGATGCCAAGCAAAAGAATTTGTGGAAAAGCCAAAGTTTAAGGAAGCATCTGTCCCACAAGGGTCCTGATGAGGTTAGGAATTATCTAACTTTATTTTTTTTGTAACCAACATTCAAGTTCTGAATTTTTTTCCATGGGGGGGAACACTTGTTTTTTTTTTCTCTGTGTGTGTGTGCGTGCGCTAATAATGCACAGATCTGCACTAAGGACTGTGTCAACTGGTTCTATAATATTTACTGAATTATTTAGGGTACACAGTGGGAGGAGAGAAGAGAGAGAGAATGAACATCGAAGCCAGTCAACGTTTGCAATAAAAAGAAAGGGTTTGATCCCTTTATTCTGCGGCTAAATTTTTAGCGGTGCACTTACACTCAACCTCGCGTAAGTGGTAGCATGATCTTCTCACACAACTCTCTGAACTGCATCTAAAACACTCAGCACCAGCTGACTGCAGCGTTGGCCATGCTGGATGGGGGTCACCCAGGGCACCAGGTTGAAGAAGGCTGATGCTAGACCACCCTCCATGCCATGTCTCCCTATTTACCTCCCTGCAATGCTGTTTATCGCTTCGCTTAATGAAAGAGCCCTTGTCCTGATCGCCTTTGGGTTTTTCTAGCCGTAACTCCTGGCCCGATTTCCATTTTCCCTCCACGATCACTTTTAAGGATCGGAAGCCCCATAAAGAGGTCCCGGGCTCCATTTTTTAGTAGCTTATTCCATCTTAGCATGGCATTTGCCTTCATCACATCGGTTGGGCTCTTTATCCGAATTTAGCAAATATACCTAAGCTTGTTCTCATCGCCGAGAATGAGCCTTCAAGCCTGGCACCAGCTTTTTCTTTGTAAAAGCGATGCGCTTCCCCCTCGTCCCTCTGCAAACAAGATTTTTCCTTTGTCGTTGACACAGCGGTATGGATTTTCTCGTCGTCAAGCTCTCAGCCGCGTACCGGCAAATGACAGTGTCCTTTTTGCAGTGGGCAGTTAAGTTTCAGCTCCTTTTACGGTGCTCTTTACCCTGAACGACGTCTTATCCAACACAGCTGCACGCACATCTGTTTTACAGGCAGCATTGCTTGGCTTTGCACGTCGCAAAGCCTTTTAGAGGCTTACACACTTTCTCGGAGTCCAGATTTTGAAAACTGGGCTCTTTCATGGGCTGGCTTAGATTTTTTTTTTTTTCCAATTTATCAATACTCACTGAATAAAGGAAAAGGGCTGTTTTTATGGGTTGAGGGGACTGAGGGTTCCTGACGGTGGTTGATGCTTCTCAATCGAGTGCTATTAAAGGACTGTGGTCATTCTTTAGGGAACAGCCTTTCTCTTTCTGAAGCTTGTCACCCCTTTGGTTACGGTCATGTTCATTCACTCCGTCTTATTGATCCTGAAAACAGCCCCTCTTAAACTTCAGTAAACTCCCCCCTGCAAAAAAATTGATTACACAGAAATGAAATGAAGGCAGATTTTTCTTCACGAGCTCAGTTTGTCCATCGACCAGCCTATAGGAACAAAACCCCAGCATGTAACGAAACACGAGCAGTGTTATCGGGATGGTAGCCCTCAAAAGCCCCACTCGAGAAAAACATCAGGAGTTGAGTCCCACGTGACGAGACAGGAAGACCTTCCATTTCTTTCTGTTTTGTATACATCAACTGATAACGTTTACTATTTTGGAGAGTGATGTCAGTGGGATCTAATTTCAGAGGGTCCAGGTTGAGTTTCTTGAATTTCAAGAGACCTGTTGCTCTCGCGTCTCCTCCTACACGTGGTGGTGAGATTTTTTAGGGTATTCAGTAGGGTGGTCCTGTATGGGCGATGCAGGCAGAGGAGGATCACCAAACTCACACAGCTTTCGCCAAACAAAACCACTTCCGCAATATTCATGACCAGCTCATTCTGGGGTGTCCCTATGTCTCCCTTGATCTTCAGGCTGGTCCTGGAGAGGATCATGATGTTATAAAATAGATGGCACACCAACCTAGTTGTCACCATAACTAAAATGGCGGAAAGAGGATAAGTGTTTTTTCCTGAGCGATGGCTATCCGGCCGAGTCTTTTTAACGAACGCTAGAACGAGGCAGAGCAACTCGAACAAAGACGGCGCACAGAAGCCAAATGTAAATTTAATAATCTCATATTCAGGCCATACGAATAAAGGATCCAGTTGGCAGTCTGTTTCTGCCTGGTAATTTTCTATGCCCAGCAGCGCACTCGGTATTAACGCAAGACAGGAGCTGCACATCAGTACAAATCCGACACACACCTTTGGGTTTCGGTACACTTTGCTGATGAAAGCGTTCTGGGGCGGGTGTCTGCTAAGGAAAAGGTTGAGCACCATTAAGACGAGCAGGTACTGGGAGCAGAAGTAACCCAGGCTGAAAAAAAAAGACAGCGTTCCACACTTTATGTAGGAGAGCTTGAGATAGGCAGGTCGCACGGCGATTGTGAGCGATAAAAGGATGAGGAAGATGCTGCTGATGGTCTGGGGGAAAAACAGGACATCTAATGTCTCTAGGGTGCGACTCCGGTAGTTCTTAATGCAGATCCCCAGGATAACGATGCCAGCTAGCAAACCAGCTGGCACAAAGCACGCAATATACGCGTGCATAAATCTCGATATGACTTGTTGTGAGAATATAATATCTTCAAAATTGGTGGACGGATCTTTGCTCAAGCTTGGGTACTTCATCCACGTCATATTGTGTGGCAACATTCTTGGGACTTTGGGCAGCTCAGGAGCTGGAATGGAAGAGAGAAGGTTTTTTAAAGGGTGTTAAGCCACAAAAAACTGGGCAAATCTGCCCCAAAGCCCCCTTCCCCGGGAGGAAGAATTTCAAAATGTAATTCCAAAGCATTTCTAAATGAAGACAGTGGAGTTACGTGCCATCTCCGAAAGGGAAGGATGATTTAGAAATATATAGCTGAGGCCCTCCTTGCAGCATGGAATCTATATTAATTCTGTTTCCAGCTCCAAGACTGATGTAAATGGCTTAACGTTTAAGACAAATAGAGCCACATTGGAGCTCCAGTAATAGAATGGCAACAGGACGTGGATCCTGGAAGAGTGAAATTTGTCTACCTTTTTCCTCTCTGTTTCTGTGGCCGTCCTGGATTTACTACACTGGTGGATCTTCACATTCCAGCGGTACAAATACTTTTAATACAGATCCTACCCTTCCAGGGCATCTCTGCTGAGTTTCTGTGCTGATGGTTGGTGTTTCAGAATAATATAAAAAAAAAAATACAAATCTGTAATAACAGAATTTTAGCATTACTGATCGGTCCCTACCATTTTAAATACCACGTAGGCCTCGTCATGGAGTTATTAGGTGTTTTTTTTAAGGTAATTTATATAAACCAAAAGCTTTTACCTGATTATGCTGTTAGTTGCTAACTACGTATATGCGTATTTATGCTGATAGCCGTTATAAATTCCTAAAGTTAAGAGTTTCTTTAGGTGAAACTGGCAGAAAAGACACGTAATGACTCAATCCAAAGGCGGCCATCATGATTCTGTTACCCTGAAAAGGCAACCCATTTCCCTTTAAGCAAATAATGGACTGTACAAAAGGATTCATTAGCTGTTTGTTCTGCAGCAAATGACTGCAATAAATACAGAATGCCTAATTTTATAGGCCACCTAAAAGTGCCATTTGTTCGTTATCAAAAGGTGATATTCATCTACTTCATTAGAAGAAATTGGTTGCCAACATTAGTTTAGTTTTTTCTTTTTTTCTTTTTTTAACAGTATGGCTTGTGGTGCAATAAGATGAGCATTTTGCATTTAATACTGTGTGGTGCTTTACTGAGTAATCAATAGCATCCTCTTCTCTTCTCTTCTCTTCTCTTCTCTTCTCTTCTCTTCTCTTCTCTTCTATTCTATTC